AATTAATATATATAAATTTGACATTTTAACAAAAGAAACATGATTTGATATGTCAAATTTACTAATTTTAATTTAATAAAAAGAAAAAAAAAATTAAGGGAAGCAAAAGTAAGGAAGGTTTGAAATGGATCATTAAAATAATGAAAAGAATTAAAATTGATATATTTTTAATAATGTCCAATCTGGCACTTTCATGTTAATATTGTTGGTTATGTTTGTCAACTCAAATTTTGTTTGTTTTGGATTTTCAAAAAGTATTTTTAGACGAGTTTTTGTTTAATTTTAGTGAATTTTTTTATATTTTAATTAATTTTTTTATTTTTAAATGCATCTAATCTTGATGTATATATATATATAAAAAAAAGACTAACATATAAAATAAAAACTAAAAAAATTTAGTAAAGACAAACAAAAATCCGCTTAAAAATAGTTTATGAAAATGTAAACAAAAGAGATATTTTTGAGGCTCAGTTTGATTAGATAAAGAATACAGGAAAGTGAAATAAAAAGAGAAAAAAAATTATGTGTTTAATACTAGAAAATTATAGAAAATAAAGTTTCCTCTGCAACTTAAATTAATTTGTTAGTTAAACTTATGATTTCATGCAAAATATTCGGAGAAATAATTTTTTCTGTGTAATTGTCATTTTTGCTCATAAAAATGATTATTTTGTCATTTTTTTTCAATTTTAATTTTAAAAAAATTATTTCATTAAAAAAAGTTAATATAATTAGTATTACAAAAATTATTATTTTCATTAATAGTATGAATTAGTATAAAATTATTTCATTTTTTTATTATAAATTAATTAGTGCCAATTAATGGCTTAATTAGCATCAATTAATACTAAAATTATTAATTAGTATCAATTAATATAAAATTTAAGCATCAATACTTTTTTTTTTTCTTTTTCTTCATTTTTTTTTCTCCTTATTTTCTATTCTCTTCTTTCTTTCTTTTTTTTTTCTCTTCTTTTTATTCTCTTCTTTATTTTTTTAATTTTGTGTAATTTATTAATTCATTACAATTAATATCTATGTATTTATTCAAATTTGGGATAAAGAATCAGATTCGAATCAGGGTCTCGAGCCTTGGCAGCCCAATTGTTGACGAAAGTGAAAATGGATGATCCGTCGAACACCTTGCGTGCAAAGCATAAACCAATGGCGATTCCATTACATTCAAACATATTGACTTGGATTGCCAAAAGCTTGTCCCCACAATCGTCCATTTCAGGATAAGGAAGCAATTTCTTGATCTCGACATAGTCGGGTCGTTCGATCAATCTTGAGAGCTTGCAATTGACTTGGGCTTGAAAGAAATCGACGCCGTTGTCGTTACAGTCGACAAAGAGGTCGTCTTTGAGACGACCCGCTAATGGGTAGAACCCAGTTAGGATATCCGATAGAGATTTCTTTAATCTCGCAAAGTTGAACGTTGAATCAGAGGTGTAGAAGTAGATGAATGGACTGAAAATTTGCTGGTTTAATTGATCAAGAAATGAGAGTTTTACATGACGAAGATTGGGAGGGGTTGGGAGAGAGGGTGTGACTGTCTCTAGAGATCACCACAACCTCAATTGTTGATTGGGAAGAACATGCTCTGAATTCATTCCCCTACCCCGCCGTCGAGTACTTCCCAACCCCGCGAGTCCCACAGTGAGATCGTCGTCGATCTATATCCGTCAAATCTGTGCCCTAATCTGTGTTCTCGACCTTGACAGCATCGCTGGCCGCTAACGAAGGCGATGGAAGCAGATGGCAGTTGTAGGCGACGGAGGGAGAGGATTTGCACAGAGGAAGAGAGATTGAGAGGATCAAAGGTAAGAGAGAAGAGTATGAGAGGCGAGAATGTGACAGGGCAAGAGAGACCAAAGCATACATAGTGGCAATTTCGTAAATAATGAAGTTTGGGAGGGACATTTAAGTCGTTTAATCTCCAAAAAAAAAATCAACTGTGCGCTTAAGCCTCCGTTTGGGAAGTGGGTTGGTTTTTTGGCTTTTTGGCTTTTTTAGCCTGGGCTATTTTAGCCTGGTTTGGGAAGGGCTTGTAATGATTATGGGTTGGATTTGATGTTTTATTTTTTGTGGCTAAAATAGCCTATTTTATTTTTTGTGACTATTTTAACCAAAAAAGCCTGGGCTTTTTCTTCCCAAACAGAGGCTAAGTTGAAAAGTTAAACACCTACTTACCAGCTTTTCAAAAAAGTTGAAATTTAACTTCATTTAAGTTATAAGTTGATTAATTAAATTGTACCAAACACAAATTTTTAACTTAATTTAAATTAAAAACTGAAATAAAACTTATAAGTCCTATGAAATAGCGCCAGCGTTTTCTTTTAAAGAAACGGAGTCAGGATTTAAATCTTTATTGCAAAACCATTAAACCAAAAATTATTGCAGAAAATCTCACAATGTTCCCATCTAATCTAATCCCATTTTACAAAGAGTGTGATACTGGTCACTTAGAAGATAAAATCAAATAAGATCGTAGATATTTTGGTTGTGCAAACGTAACGGGAAAACTAACAAGGGGGAGTAGGAACAGAAGCATGATAAGATGCAGATAAAATCAAAATTAAAAAACTTATGAGTGTTAATTAAAATAATATTATAATTAAAAAAATTAGTTATAATTAAAAAAATAATATAATTAAAAATGCATAAGTTATACCTTTTTATAATGATGTATATTAAAATTTCCCTCATAAAGGTCACAATGAGATATTGACATAGCAAAAAAGACAAATCTACTCTCTAATTGCATCTTTGTGGACCCCTCTCACCTATCATATGCTTAGGTCAAGTTTGGCAACTTAAAAATAATTCATCTTTTTATCTTTTTTTTCATTACATCACCTCTTCACTTTTCTGTACATCTTTTCGTAAAAAACAATCCCTTACTAGAAGTCTAGAACTCTAATATTATAATAATTACATTTACTTATCATATTAAAATTAAATTAATAAAATAAGTTTTATCATTAAAATCAAGAAAAATTAGGATTGGGAGTTGTGCAGCCGTAATTGTTGACTTTTGGTGAATAGTGTTAACTTTTTAACTTTTTGAGTAACTTTTTGACTTTTTAACTTTTTTACAATATGCCAAACATGGCCTTACTTCCATACACGCACACCCATTTCCAACTTCCTTTGACAACAAACTCTCTCTCTCCTCCATGGACGCACCTTCTTTAGGTCTCACTGCAAAACCCTAAAATCCCTTCTCTCTCTCTCTCTCATGACCAAGAACCCATCTTTACCTTCTCTTTATCTCTCTAGAAAAATAAGAAATGGGTTCTCTTATCCAATTTTCGATTTGCCGACCTGTTCGCGAGTCGTCTTCGTCGTCACAGATGCGTACTCCAGTGCCGATCGCCTCTGCGAAGCTGCCTCAGACGTCGTCGCTGCTGGTTGCCATTAATCGCCTCCTTCGCTTCTTCTGTGCCCTAGGAAGGTTGTGTGTATGGTGAGGCATTGGGCGAAATGAATCAGAGGAGTATTTCAGGGTATTTTGGTAAATTTACCCGAAGAAGGGTTCCTCTCCAACCCATTCAAGCTTTTTTGCAGTCATGTGGCTAAATAAGCCTCTTTTGTCCGCATGTGGCTAATTTAACCTCAACTTTCCTTCCCAAACACCACCTAAGTCGTTTAATCCCTAGAAAATCAGCTGTGCGCTTAAGTTGAAAAGTTAAACACCCAATGACCAGCTTTTCAAAAAAGTTTAAATTTTGGTTTGGGTTGTTCTCAAAAAGTGCACTTTTTGACTTATTGGCTTATATGGGTTGGGTTTGGGTTGGATTTGATATGATGTGTTAGAGAGGTGATGTGATTTAAATAAGATGATGTGACTTAAATAGGATAGTGACTTTTTGTATTATTTAGGACATGTCAAACCAAGCCTTAATTTAAGCTATAAGTTGATTAATTAAACTGCACCAAATACAAATTTTTAGCTTAATTTAAACTAAGGCCTCGTTTGGGAACAGGCTAATTTAGTAACTTTTTGGCTATTTGACTAAAAAGGTAGGTAAAAAAAACTTGTATGTTTGGGATGACTTTTTGGCTAATTACGAAAAGATGTGCAAAAAGTAGAAGGAAAAGAAAATCTTTAACTTTTTGGTATGGATTGTTGACTTTTTGGCTAATTTAGTAATTTTTTGGCTAATTGACTAAAATAACCTCTTGCCAAACGAGGCCTAAAAACTGAAATAAGAAACTTATAAGTCCTACCAAACAGGACCATTGTCACTTTCTATCAGCCTTTTCTTTTAAAGAAACGGAGCCAGGATTTAAATCATTATTGCAAAACCATTAAACCAAAAATTATTGCAGAAAATCTCACAATGTTTCCATCTAATCCCATTTTACAAAGAGTGTGATCCTGGTCACTTGGAAGATAAAATCAAATAAAATCGTAGCTATTCTGATTGTGCAAACGTGATGGGGAAACTAAAAAGGGGGAGTAGGAACAGAAGCATAATAAGATGCAGATAAAATCATAGTGACGAGGGAAGCATCCCATACTTATGACTGAATGAATACATTACAACCAATTGGTTGGTGGTCAAGTGGCGATTGGAGCTTGACTTGGTAGGAAGGACTACGGTTCGATTCCCCGCATCACCAATTGGGAGGGGCTTTGAGTCTAACCATCCAAAACTACGCCCCGAATCCGGATTAGTCGGCCCGAAGGGTCGGATACCGGATGGCTAGGACCAAAAAAAAAGAATGAATACATTACATTATTTGTATTACAACACTCAGTTTTATTATGCGCTGATGATCACATAAGAATCAGATACCAATAATATATCACATAGTAATAGTAAAATTCCCGCACTCGCTCGCTCGCTCATTCAAATTTCATTCATATATAAAGGCTTACTAGTTCTAAATTTTGACCTAACAGGATTCTATGAAAAATAAAATAAAAACTTTTCTCATCAAATAGTAATATATATATATATATATATTAGAATGTGTGCACACACTAAGTGTGGTATGAAAATTAACTAGTTGAATGTAGATGAAAAAAACATTCACAACAACAAAACATTTCTCAATCAGGAATGAATATTTCCTCTCCTACATGCTACAACAACCTCTCCATAGCCACAACAAGAAAGTAATTGATGTGAACAAACCAGCATATGCTTCAGGGAAAAATTGATGTGAACAAAAATTTAAAAGAAAAAGATTTACTCAGAACCTCAAGCGCCTTTTTGCCAGAACAGGCAGTTATACATTTGCCATAACCAAATCAAACTAAGCCTTATGTTGCACTCAAAGAGGAAAGAAATCTGAGGGCGGTATTAAAAAAAGAAAGCAAATGAAAACTCAACTAGACACCAAACATCAAATCCATGATTTTTGACGCCACAGATTTTGCAGGGGCGGCAACGGTACCAGATGAGTGTCTAGCACTATTACTTCCATTTTGAAGATAGTCGATGTGAGGAGAGGCTCTCAAAGGGTTTGGCTCTGAGCTTTTACCCAATGGTGCTAGGGTTGAAGTCATGAATCCTTGATTGTTCAGCCTTTCATTCAGCACTTGGTGTTGTCCCGGATCAACTAGCTTCACTCCAACAATGAGGGCTCCATTTATTTGCATTCCATTTTTGCTGAGAGCTTTCTGAGCATCAGACCGATTCTGCGCCAGTAAATAAGTGAACAAATTAATAGCTGTCGTATTGTTTTAATGCCAGCACATAACCAGTTATCTGAGCATATAGCCCTTGACAAAGTAGAATGACAAAAAAAAATCCATTTAACTGACGCCACTTAAGTGGGACACAAGGTTTAATTTGGTTTGGTACACAACCAATTAGCCCCGTCCATCTACTTGAAATGGAATAGATCACAACTAACAAGAACACTAATTAAGCCTGAAATATAAATATTTTTAGCCCTGATGTGTTAATATGACTGCTGTATTTTAAAAACTTGAAGTATGATAATTATATAAATCATTTCAAAAGCAAGTTTTGTACTCAATATTATATGCAGTGCAATTAAACTGTAAATACATAATGCTGTGAACTCAAGTTAGGGTATATAGTCTTGGCAGTTTATGTCTCACATTGCTTTTCAAGAAGTTTGTGTCCTCAACTTGATGCCAATACAATGTGAACAACTTCAAGCCCATGGTTAACATGTTTAAAACATTTAAGCACAACACTTTAAATGTTTCAACTAGTTTACCAAATGAACTGGTTATATAAATCAGTAAAGACAATTAAATATCTTTAGAATAAATAACAGAGAAAATGAATAGAATATTCAAAAATATAAAATAGATAACTATGTAATCTAACTAGGACTTGCTGAAATTGATCCATTTAACTAGATGGGTCCAAGGCCCCCAACCAGAGAAGCAACAGACTGGGTTAAGAATTTCTATCCTTAGCATTGGTTGAGCAAATAAAAGAGGAGCATTATCAAATTTCCTTGCATATTTCTAACAATTTGCAAATTCCTTGTAACTATTCAGCAAAAATGAACCCAGCTAGTTTTCCGACAGTAGGAAAAACCACAAAGTACATATCTCGAAAAATTAAAACTAATGTGGCATCTAACGAGCAGGTGACATGCATGGCACCGAGGCTATGCGAAACAAGGCTCGTGTATTATGGTTGTGGGGTTCATACCCTCAATGATGATGATGTCACTTGCCATTTGGGAAACATATTCCCACAGTTTTCATTACCATTTAGCATTTATTTGCAAGTAACAAAGAAGATTTTCAAGATTTTCAAGCTTTCTATTAGCCAAAAAGACAATGTCATATTCCCAAAGAGAACAGAAACATAGAATAAAACTAAGAGACATGAATACTAACAAAAGAATTTCAATATGAACAGCTCAAACTTGAAATTGGGGGAGAATGGGAAAAACCTGATACAGGATGTGGATCCAATTAGCACCTCTGGGACCTGGAACATGTTTCAAGATCACACCACATTTCTCAAACTCCCGCAAAACAAAATTGGTGTCCCCTGGGGAAAATCTGGAAGGAAGATTAAAAAATGTCATCACAGGTTTAGAAACATAAAAATTACTTAGCAGTACAAACAATATATACATTGTAACATTGCAAGGAATAAAGGTACAAGCATGAAGTTGAATATTGTAATGTTGCAAGGAATAAGGGTAGAAGCATGAAGTTTAATACACTGATGACAATCCTAGAAGCTCTATGTCCCTCACAATCATTCCACAAAAGTGTGAAAAACCAATAAAGATTGACTCACCCTCCTAGAAACCCGAGTTAAACAACTTCAGACTCTCATAATATTGATGTCTTGCTGCCTATTGTCATCAATATCATTCTTTTAGACCCTTCCCAAATATATATATATATATATATCCATTTTTAAAGGTATAAATGTTTTGACCCACTCATTCAGCATTGTGCATATTTGTCTTCCTCAACTCAATCATTACCCTTCCTCTATTCATATATCAGAGTTTAGTTTTTCTAGGTCCTCTCATCTAAATAATAAAGAGAAATAAAGAGAAGAAAAACATAAATTAACAATACAAGCATCAGACTCTGAATTACCGACTCCAACAATACTTTTTTCTACCCTCTAAACATGCTTGTATCAAGTCCATACCCTAGACCTAGATACAGCTCTGTCATCCATCTACTGGTAATTGCCACTATTTAAGCATCCCAACTTCCTCCTGAAGGGCATCCTCTTTCAGCTAATTGTTCACTTGCTAATCTCTTGGTCAAATTTCAGAAACTCCATTCTCGCCTATGCCTTCCTGCTAACGCAGCACAATATAAAGCCTATACTAATATCAATTACATAGTCAATTCAGCCGAACCATATCAACTTCTGCCTTCATCTCGATTTAATTTTAAAAGTTAACAGATATTGGTTTATGGAATTCATTGGTTAGTGCAAGCAACTCTATAAAACTAGAAAAATCATTATGGCATCCCACTGTACTCAAAACTAATACAATCATATATACAATTGTTTTTTTTTTTTTTTTTTTTAAAAAAAAGGATATCAGAGTCATCCTCAAAAAACTCTTTAAAAATGAAATTGGTGTTGTATTATCAGCAAGAACAGCAATGATTACTGTTACACTGTACATAAGAAATCATTTAATAGTTAGAAAGAATCATAAGATGAGCTTCACTGGTTCTAGAAAGAAACATACTAATTCCAATAGTCAATATTTCATGCTAATTTTTAATTTCCATTGAGATTTAAATTAACTTTCATACATGCCTAAAATATTGTAATTCCGATCATGTAGATTATAACTACCACACAATGACATAACTGCATTTCCAAAAAACCACATTTGTATAAACTACCAAGCATTACTGTCAACATCTAGCATTGATCATCATCAAAATTAAGCATCTCATAAAACACATAAATAAAAAAACTACACAGACCAGAATAAAGTCACAATCATCTCAAAAAAAATGAAGTATGAACATTACCCATAAACAGTGACCCATTCTTCCTCATGAAGGTCTCCCACAGGTAACGAATTCCTGTGCGTTTCCGGTCTCGCAACCTCCCTCGGAGGTGGAAGTATAATCAAAGCACCCGAATTAACCACACCCTCAACCGGCGAACCCTTTCCCTTCTCATCCTGCTCGCCACTACCGCCACTCTTCCCAGGCGACCACCAACTCAAACTCCCCACAGGACTCTGCGGATTTTGCAGCTGCTGCCCACCACCCATTACAGCATACGAAGTGCTCGCCTCGGCCTTCATTCTCGGGGTCGAAAACTGGCCTCCCGAGCTCTGGACAGGAGTTCTAAACCCTAAATTGCTTTCCGAAGACATGGGATAGTCCGGAATTCCAGATTCCGGAGAGAAATCCGATCGGTCTTCGAGGGTGAACATGGGCGGAGGGGGAAGATCGGAATTGGAGAAATTCTCGCGCCATAGAGCTGAAACAGCTGCAGCTTGACCTGGGGTTGTGAATTTTCCACTTCCTCTATGGGTTGTAGAAACGGGGGAAGCCAAATCATGGAAGAACAATGATTGTCTTCTAGATTTAGGTGTTCTATGTACTGTGGTGGTCATTTTTCTTCTATAATGATTGTAAATCTACAATTCAACAATTGAAGATGATGAAGAAAAACACATAAATCACAGTCCAACACATATACAATCGATGGAGAGAGAGACCTGTATATGGGGTTGGAGGAGCGAAGGAGGATCGATTAGGGTTTTGAAGTTGGGAGATTTTTGAATGCTTTTTTGTCAATTCCCCGCAACGTTCGAAAACAGAGCGCTACTTACTGATAAAAAACCCTAGGTCGGCGACCAGGATTAGGTTGTAATATTAAAGGCTATGTTTGGCGTGAAAGTTTTGACTGGGTTGGGTTGCGGTTATTTTAGTCTTAAAAAGGTAAAATAGATTTTTAATTCGAAAATGTGGTAAAATAGATTTTTAATTCGAAAATGCGGCAGACTCTCAGTAATTGTCGATCCCCAGTGACCCCTAGTCCACGTGGCTATGGGTGATTGGAAGGAAAGAAAAAAAGAAAAAAGAAAACTGACGAATGGCGCTGCGCCACGTCACTGGGGGTTGACCCCCAGTGGGGGTAGGAATCACGGTTGTTTTTAATTTAATAAAATAAAATATTATATTTAAATTATAATTATTTTATTTTTTTTCTTATAAAAATTAAAAAAGTCAATTTTTTTTTTATCTCAAATGAAACTTTTTAACCGCAAGTTAAAATAATTAAAAATTAAAAAACCAACTCAATCCTGAACGGAGGCTAAATGAAATTTATTTATTAATATCTAGAGAGGTGAATATATGTGGGGTTGTCTTGGGCTTCATTTGGGAATAGGTTATTTTAGAGCTCGTTTGGGATGTGAGTTGATTTTTTAGCTTTTTAGGTTTTTGGCTATTTCAGTCTCAGACTAAAAAGCTTCATTTGAGATTAAGTTTTTGACTTTTTTGACTTTTGTGAGAGAAAGAATGAAATGATTATGGACTGAATGTGACATTTTGTTATATTTGGCTAAAATAGCCTATTTTGTCTAGGTATAATGCGTCGTAGCTCAAGTTTTTTGAGGCTCGAGTGGCTCGACAAAATTTTTCTCTCTCCTCTATCTGTTTCCTCTCCTCTCTATCTCTATTCTTTAAACATTCATTCAAACACTCATGTCTCTCTCTCTTCTTCTTCTTCACTCCAAAAGCCTCCTCCTTCTCCGACACCCACAATCCAGATCACTGTCGGAGTCCACGACGAGGCAAGGCGAGCTCTATCATCAGCGGCCACCAAACGAGCTCATTCTCTTCATTCCATTTTCAATTACCAATCGAATCGGTCGAAGCAAAAATCAGTCCGCGAAGCAAGAGATACGATTGGGGAATATGAGAGAAATAGACATGGAATTTGAGGCAGGACTTGATCTCTTTGGCCTTGTTGGGTTCAAGTTGGAATTTGTTTTGAATTTGTGTTGATTTTTGCTACTAGAATTAAACATTATCAATCCCCTAGTTTTGCTGCTAAAAAATTTGATGAAAAGGAGTTCAAATTCTAAAATTTCCTTTTTTTTTTTCTCCTCTTTCTTTTCCTTTTTTTCTGTTCTTTCTTTGCATTTTCTTGCTAACCAAACAGAGAGAGTGGTTGTAAAAAAAGTAGAATCAACAATTTTACTTGGAAATTTTGTGTATTTGATTGTTGTAGATTTTGGCAGATGTAAGCTTTCATCAAACCCATCAAAATCTCTCTGTAATCCCTATGGATGTGTTTGTTTTGGGATAAGGACACGAAATTGGTTTAATCCTAAATTTCTTTCTCTACTATGAAATTTCTCCCTCCAAAATCTTTTGATTCTCTCTCTCTCTCTCTCTCTCTCTCTCTTTGTCATTTGAAATCCAGATCCGCTACCATCAAAATCGCCTCAAATCGTCTCTATTTTCTCTTTCTTTTTTTTTCCTAGTAGATCTGAGATCTCTTTCTATCTCTGCAACTATTAATGGGATGAGAGGGAGAGAAGCTGAAGAAGATGAAGGGGAAAGAAAAAAAAAAGTGCCAAAACGACCGTTTTGGCCCCTCGAGCCATTCGAGTCACCATTTTCTCGAGTTACCTAGCGGTGTTGTTTGTCTTATATGGTTAGGTTATTTTAGCCAAATAGGACAAAATGTCACATCAAACCCATAATTATTTTTTTTTTCTCACAAAATTCAAAAAAATCAAAAAGTCTATCACAAACGAAACTTTTTAGTCACAGGCTAAAATAGCCAAAAAGCTAAAAAACCAACTCATATTCCAAACGAACTCTTAGTAATTTTTTTAACTTTTTATGAAAATATGTGCAGAAAAGTAAAAAAGTGATGCGATAACTTATAATGACTTTTTAATTTTTTGACTAAAATATATAGTTGACAAACGAGACATTAGTCCTCCAAAAATTAGTCATATTGATTAGAGCATGCCCAATAATTTGAGTAGATATTGATGGTGTTTGTTACAACTTAAAAAATATTATTCAGTATATTTGGTTTCAGTTTTTTGAATTTAGTTTTTTTTTAAATTGAGTTTTTTTATTTTTCGTATTTTTTTGTTTTTAGTGAATATTTTTAAAATTTTAAACAATTTTTTTTTTTTACTTTTTTACATGTACCTTATTTGAATGTATCTAAATAGTAAAATATTTGTGAAAAATATTTTAAAAAATTAATAAATACACAAAAATATGAAAAATGTATTAAAATTTTGTTTTTGTTTTTGTTTTTGTATTTTTTGGTATTTAGTGTATTTTTTAAAGAATTTTTTTCACAAAAATTATACTTTTTAAGTGTATTTATGTTAGGTGTGTCTAAAAATTTAAAAAAATGCTGAAAATATTTTAAAAATTCATTAAAAACATTAAAATAAGAAAAATAAAAAAGTAGAATTTTTTGAAAATTGTTTTTTGAAAACCAGAACCAAACAAGCTGATTATAATTTATTTTAATTTGAGAATTTGTATTAGACTGTTTGATATAATTTTTGTTTATAATTTTTAGGCAAAAATATTTTAAATAATGTGAAAAAAATTGATTATTTGAAAGTTGAGGGAAAAGTAGTTTTTACTTTTTGATTATCAGTTTTTAACTTCAATAAGTTACACCAAACAGGTTTATTGTACATAATCACTAATTATTAAAAAATTAATAATAAAAAATAAAAATAAAAAACTACAAGCTCAAACATTGAGGTTTTTTTTGTAATTTTTTATTTTTTTTATTAATTTTTGCAATTTTTTTTATTAATTAACAATTATGTACAATTGGCTTGTTTGGTAATATCTAAAGTGTTTATTTAATTTTATTTTTAATATTTAATTAGCAAATATTATCGTAACACTTAATTTGTTTTAATAATTAATGTTATATACTTAAATGGCTTCTTTTTTTCAAACTATATTTTCTAGTAGAAGTAACAGATGAACATTTTGCAAAAATGATGGCAACTTCTATCAGATGAATAAAAGTATTAATTGTGGGAGCCAAAAAAAAATATATATCAGCTTATTGGGGTTAGCCCAAACAAGGCCTATAATGAATCCAGCCCAAACTAATATCACACCCCCCATCTATATAAAGGGGGGGCATCCCAGAAGATGAGGTATGCCTTATCTCTCTCTACCATATATCACACAAACACTTCTTTCTCTAGAGATGTCTTCTCTGATTTCAGTGACTAATTTCGTCATCGGAGTGTCTCCAGCCGGTAACCCTGGTTGGGTGGCGCCGACTACGTTCATCTTTGCAGATATACAGGGGCAAAGCTCCTCTCTTCGTTGGATCTCTACAATCCATGTGAGAGGATTTTCATAGTCTCACAATTGGCGCCGTCTGTGGGAAACGTCTGCAAGAGTTCAACGAAGAGAATAGCAAACATGTTCTTGTAAGTAAAAATTTGATCTTGCTCTCTACAAATTGGTTCTTGGTGTAACAACCCTCATACTGTATACCGATTAATGACTGATTGATTACCGATAACCATCGATTACCGTTAAACTGAATTGATTATGACTGATAATTGGACTGATTAAAAGTACTGAACTGCCTGATCAAAATTGAAACTGAATTGAATGAATACATCTGTTTGAATTGCATTCTATCTGTTCGATTAATTATTTGATCTGTTCGTATTTTAGTGTTTAAACTGCTAATTGAAGGCCTTATCGGCGGCCGAACTGGGAATAGATTAATGTTTTATGATCCTCATAATTAATGTGATTTTATGGTATTTTTATCTGAAAACTGATTAGGTATGCTTGAATTAGATTAAATAAGCTAATTAAAGAGTTAGGCTTAATTACAGAATTGCCACCCTTAGTGGCCCACTCAATATAACATATTTGAGCCTTACATTTGACCACATAACACATTTTCCTCAGCCTTTTCTTGCTCTAGCCGACCAAGAGAGGGAGAGAGTGAGAGAACTTGTCTTCCATCTTGAGTTTTGCTTGCTAATTGAAGAACTTGAAGGGTAGATTGCTACTTTAGACTCCTAAACCTTGAATACAAGACTAAGGTAGGAAACTCATCTTCTTCTTGTGGTTATTGAGCTAGTTCTTGCATGATTCATACTTCATTGTAGAACTAAGTCATGATTTGGTTCAAGAATGTGGAATTATAGCTTCATTTCATGCATGCATGTTTGAATTAAAGAGTTTTGAGTTGAATTCATGGTAAAATGGTGCATGCATGTTCATAATTTTGTAATGGTCCATGTTTTCAACTTGTTTTTGGATCAATTGGCTCCTTAGAGCATCAGATTGGAACTTCCAAATGATTTGAATTCGTGCATGTTTGCCTGTTCATATTGTTCATGAAATTGGTTTAAATTAAGTTTGAATTAAACACCCTTGGGCTTTGATTTCTTAAAATTGAGCTTTGAAACGTGTTATTCTATGTGTTTATAAATGTTTTCCAGAAAATGGGCCCAAGAGGATCGGTTTTGATGCCTTTGAACTAATGTACATCTTTGCATCCTCATCCCGTTCTAGGCATTCTTAGGCCTAGTTTAAGGCATCTTGTTGAGGATATAGATGTAGAACACACCGAGGCATTAGGGGTTAAATTATGTTATCTCCTAACTGTGTAGCTTAGTGTGTGTTCAACCTGTGAACTGTGTAGGGTTGGCGTTTTTACTTTCGCGCTCTAGCATACTGTAGCCCAGAACTCTGTGAGTAACAATTGTGTAAAGATATGTTCAACTGATTATCTTTTGAATACTGAACTGAACTGTTTACTGAACTGGATTTTACTGAATGAATGTATGTCCTTTATTTCTGAACTGTACTGTGCATCCTTAGTACCTA